CAGTGCATAAAGTCACATGGGTCTCCCGTGATGGATATACAGAGAACCAAATCGACCACATCTGCATCAGACGAAAATGGAGACGGAGCCTTCTTGATGTTCGGAATAAACGCAGCGCTGACATCGCGTCTGACCATCATCTCCTGGTCGGTGAGATCCGCTTACGCAGAGACTCGGGCGGCGATTCAACACACGCCGACTGGAAGACCCAGTAGTGAAGAGATCGTTCGTCGAAGAACTCGAGGCTCGCGCAGCTAATAATCCGGAAGGTGGCAGCGTAGAAGAACAGTGGACGAGCATCAAGAATTGAAACAAGCGAGAACAACCTGGGTGAGCTGCGCACTCAGAGGGAAGAGTGGATCACCGATGAAACCTGGAGGAAGATCGAGGAGCGGAGGGAAGCAAAAGCCGCGATAGAGCGAGCAAGGACCCGAGGAGGCCCGTCAGCGGTATTTTGCTCTAGAGAGGGAGGTTAAGCGTTCCTGTATACGGGACAAGCGAGCGTGGGTGGACTCCCTGGCTGATGAAGGGGAGAAAGCCACAGCAACTGGCGATATCCGCCTCCTCTATGATGTTTCACGACGCCTGAGCGGGGCAAGAATGAACCCAAGGATGCCTGTGAAAGACGCGACTGGACAGTTGCTCGCCGACCCCACTGACCAGTTGAAACGTTGCTTTGAGCACTTTGAACAACTTCTCGAAGTTTCAACGGTCAACCAACCATCAACATCTCGTCATGATCCGCTAAGGGTGAGGCGCGTTACTCGCGTCAACACTGAAGCTCCATCATTGCAGGAGATAGAAGCATCCGAAGTATGAAGTCCAACAAAGCCCCGGGGGTCGATCGCATATCAGCAGAGATGCTCAAAGCTGACCCCATGCTATCCTCACAAATGTTGCATCAACTATTCGTCAATATCTGGGACACCGCGACTTTTCCGGCCGACTGGATGCAGGGCGTCTTGATAAAAGTCCCCAAGAAGGGGGATCGAGCTGTATGCGACAACTGGCGAGGCATCATGCTACTGTGTATTGTTCTCAAAGTTCTGTGTAAAGTTATCCTCAATCGGATACAGGAGAAGATCGACGCGACTCTCCGACGACAGCAGGCAGGATTCCGTGCTGAAAGATCCTGTGTGGACCATATTGTCACGCTCCGCATCATCTTGGAGCAGGTCAATGAGTTCCAAGAGACCCTGTACTTGGTTTTCATTGACTATGAAAAAGCTTTCGACCGGCTAAATAACGAAAACTTGTGGGACACAAGGAAGTCCCTGATAAGATCGTCAACCTCATCGAAGCGCAGTATGAGGCTTTCTCATGCACAGTGTTGCACAACGGAGCTTTGTCTGACCCAATTCGGGTAATCGCGGGTGTGGGACAAGGATGTATATTATCACCGCTACTGTTCCTCATCGTAATCGACGAGATCATGGGCGGAGCCGTTGACCGTGTACCGAACCGTGGGTTGCTGTGGCAGCCTATTACTATGGAGCATCTCAACGACTTTGATTTGGCTAATGATGTTGCCTTATTAGCACAACGGCGCTCTGACATGTAGAGTAAGCTCGACGACCTTGTGGAACGCTCCTCTGAAGCAGGTCGAATCAACGTCAACAAGACCAAATCGTTGGATGTCAACACGGAAAACCGTTCCAATTTCACGGTAGCTGGGCAGGCAGTGGAGAAAGTCGAAAGCTTCCAATATCTTGGCAGCCAGATAGCGTCGAACGGCGGCACCAAGAGCAACATAGGTGCACGGATTAAGAAGGCGAAGCCTGCTTTTGCCAGTTTTCGAAATGTATGGAGAGCGAATCAGATCAGTCAACGCGTCAAAATCCGAATTTTAACTCGAACGTGAAGTCTGTGCTGTTATACGCCAATGAAACATGATGTGGATCAGCGGAAAACACTCAGAAGGTGCAGGTGTTTATCAACCGATGCCTGCGGTAAATAATTCGTGCCTGGTGGCCCCACAATTGGACATCAAATTCCGAGCTTCATCGTTTATGCCATCAGAAGCCGATAGAGACAGACATTCGTGAACGGAAGTGGTCGGTCACACACTACGACGGAGCGGAAAAGAAATCTGCAAGCAATCACTGAACTGGAATCCAGCAGGACATCACAGCAGAGGCAGACCAAGAGGCTCGTGGCAGTTGCGTCTAAACAGTGAAATTAAGAACGTTGACCGAAATTCGACTTGGGCACAGTTCAAGGCCAAAGCTAGTAATAGCCCAGGATGGAAATCTTTCACAAAGGCCCTTTGCACCCCTGCGCAGGATTGTTAAGTAAGTAAGTAATAAGAAGACAACATTAAATTTGTTATGGCTATATCGTAAATACATTTCATAAATGATGGTTTGAGTGCTTTTTTAAACAGGCGAAAAACAATATATTTGTAAAATATGGAACATACTATATAAAAACTATATACTATATCAACAAAAATACTGCAAGCTACAATATGAAACCAATGTTTCTAATTCGGAAAAAAGCACAGAGAGTAAATTTTTAATGATTACTATCAAAGTTACCCGCATTATCAAAGGTACCCCGTTTTACGATACTTCAAAAGACAATAAAGTATTTCGACACAGATCAATACCAAAAACAAAGTTTGGCTTTCGGGCCTCAAACTATAATCCCTTGGTTTTGAGATAATTTATTTGAGTAATTTTTCCACCCTTTCAACGCATTATGTGGGACATAGTTCTTAAAAATGACTTGTTTCAGAAAATTTAAACGTGCAACCTCTAAGCAAATTTTTTGGGGAATATTGACGTAATAGCGTAATCTGGTGCCTAATATAATAATTTTGGGGCACCTTAATTGATAGTATGGTGATGGCGTAGTTTATGAGTACTGAAACTTTATACGTAAGAAAACCAAAAACTATTGATGACCAACTAAAACTTGCTTCATCGAAATTCCATATCAATGTGTTGCGTCGAAAATGTTCAGGGATGTACGTAAAATTTATAATTTCTTCAATTTTCCATGAAAACGAAGTTTAATTGGACAAGTCATCTCTGAATTAAATCCTTTGAACATCCGTGAAATATCTTCTGATTTGTTGCGTTCGTTTAAAAAAAACATTACACCGAACAATAACAGCTATTGAAGTAAGAAGTAGTAAGAAGACCCAGAAAAACTATTTTAGAGCGATGATTTTCTCACAAATTGTTTCATCCATGGAACACTTTCTGAATAGTGAATCAAGTCTTGTTTATTGTATCTTAAAATACACCATCTGGCATCAATAAAGGGTGTCCACGATGAAATTGCCACACTATGAAATTGCTCTAACTGTTTAACCGTTGGGTAGAATTTAATGAAAATTTGGGTGGATTTAGTTCATAGAGCATTATTTACATCCTGCAAGTTTTGAAGTCCCGTGATCAAAACTCGCGGAAATGGAGTCGAAAGAACAGCTCGTGCGTAATAAAATCTTGCGCATTCATCACGAGAACAAGGATCTCTCGCATCGTTCCATCGCTAAAACGTTGGGAATCGCGAATTCCACGGTGTCGCGAGTGATTAAGCGGTTCGAGGAACGGTTGACCACCGATCTGAAGCCCAGAAGTGAAGGAAAAAGTATTCCGTACAACAACAAAAATCACAACCGCGTAGTTGGGGCCTTCAACCGAAATCCGAACGCCTCCGTTAGGGATGTGGCTAAGAAGCTGCACCTAAGCCGAAGTTTTGTCCAGAAGGCCAAAACTAAGGCTGGGCTTCAAACGTTCAAGGTACAAAAGGCCCCTAATCGCGACGAGAAGCAGAACAAGTCCGCCAAAACCCGTGCCAGGAAGTTGTACCTCAACATGCTGACGAAAGTTGAATGCTGCATCATGGACGACGAAACATATGTGAAGGCCGGCTTCAAACAGATCCCCGGCAACCTGTTTTTCACGGCCAAGGATAAGTTCAGCGTTCCGGAGCATGTCCGCACTCAGAAGATGTCCAAATTTGCGAAGAAATTCCTGGTTTGGCAAGCCATCTGCACGTGCGGGAAGCGGAGTGCACCTTTCGTGACCCAGGACACGATGAACGGACAGGTGTACATAAAAGAGTGCCTCCAGAAGCGGCTGCTTCCTCTCCTGAAGGTCCAAAACGTCCCAACGATCTTCTGGCCGGATTTGGCCTCATGCCACTACTCCAAGGACGTGCTGAAGTGGTATGCGGACAATAAGGTCAATTTCGTGCCGAAAATGTTCAACCCTCCCAACACTCCGGAGCTCCGCCCCATCGAGAAGTACTGGGCGATTATGAAGCAGCACCTTCTTAAACGACCTAAGGTAGTGAAGACAGTCGAGGAACTGAAGAAAGTATGGGTTTACATGCAAAAAACGGTTGATTCACAGGTTGTGCAGAATCTTATGGCCGGGGTTAAGGCCAAGGTGCAGGCATTTGCGTATGGACTGTAAATAAAATACGAGTAAAATGGTAAAATGAAGCTTAATAGTTATTTCTCAATCCCTGAAAATTTGATGGCAATCGGATGAAAACTCGAATTTTGCGAATCAATTTTGTGTGTGGCAATTTCATCGTGGACACCCTTTAGCAGATGCAATCTGTAACTACTGCTTTCTTTTATGTTTTGCATTTCCAAATTCAACCCTGCCGATTTCAATCCCCTGCAAGCAATTTACATGAAAATCGTACAAGTTTTACTTTCACACCGGTCACGCGTTCCACTCACTCCCAGGGATTACGCTTTACATCTCGATCGAACGGTACACAAATACAATAGAATAAGCTATACTATTTCAAGAGACAGATCTTTGTACGGTTGGAAAACGTCGTCAGTTGCGAGAGGAAGAAAAAAAAACAAATCTTCTTTTGCATCAGTCACTCTGCATTTGCCTCACCCAGATCCCTTCCCTGCACCCATTGCAATCATCTCCCGGCACAAGGACTCTATAAAACGTTGTTGCGACTTCTTTATCCGTTTTCCATTCCTTTTTCGCCCTCCTCCCTCCCCATCATCGTGTACTTACAGCTCATCGTAGACCTTCTCCACTTCGGTTCTTTGGGTGAGATTTTTGTACAGATTGAAAAAGTCCTCGAATTGAAACTTGGATAGCGCCAGCGTGTCGCCCTTCCCCGAGGGCAGTCCGGAAACGTCGAGTGCCTTCTCTACGCGTCGCCGTTCGGCCTTGTTGGTGGCAAATGCTTCGATGATGCTGGTTACGGGACCACGACGGAAGCAGCAGCATCACCACGATTCGTAAGTAAAACATGGAAAGAGAGAAATAGAAAATTGCGAATAAATTAGTTACGTGTAATTGATTTAAATGATTGTAACGGATTTTGAGCGGTTGTTGGCTCGGTAATTTCATCTGATGATAGTTTACGGGACACGACGGGGGCGGACATATTTCCACGGTGTTTGAATAGGGTTTATGGTGTGTAGTAGATTGGCAAGTTAAGTGCAATGTAGTAACTTTTTTTTTTCCAAAAGTGATGTATCTAGTAAACAAGCTATTCATTATTAATGATGAGTTATTCTTTCCGAACAATTTGCTCGGACTGTCAACACATACCGATTAAGCCTTCATCGTAATTTATTATCGAATCGTGTTTTTGCCCCTGAAATAGCAAATGAAATCCACTAAAGTCCTGAAACCGATTGTCTCCTTTCGTTTTTTTTTTTATGACGATGTCCAGTTGTTTTCAGCTGACTTTCCTATATTTGTCAACCACTTCCACCGGAGCGCGGAAGCTGGTCTTGCTTCGTTCCAGGTTATGCACGTAAGCCTTTAAGATGGCGAGACTTTACTGCTTATGGCTCTGTGTCTAGTGTCTGTAGGTCGAATGATGAAAGAAATTGTGAAATATCATGCCACCGCACAGTCTGCTGGCTGAAGTGCCGTATCCTTCGAAGAAGAATGAAAACGAAAACCTAATCGTCAGCTTGTTATCAATTCCCACGAGGACGATTATCTTGTGTGCGTTGCCGTTCCATTGTCATTACACTTTTGGGTAGGTCCTCTTCCCGTCAGCCATTCGGAAGCTTTTATTGTCATTGGTAAGGTATCCCCCCTATGGTAGGACGGAACCCTTCTTACATATTTGATTTATGTAACCCATGAAGGTTTCACCTCACGGTCAATATAATCTTTCTTGGGTTTAAGAAAGATAAAAATGAACATAAAGCCCCCTTCGTTATCAGTCGATGGTGGTGGGAGGTGAACAGTACATATTGTTTCGAAACACACCAAAAAGACGGTACCACCGGGGATCTACGGCCGATGACTGTTGACTTTGTGTTGGCAAGACAATCTAGATACAGACCAAGAAAAAAAAACAGTTTACCACGGAAAGGTGACGTGAAAATATAAACAATACGAGGTGACTTTGCAAAATTTCCCCCTTTTCGATGACTTTGAAGATTTGTGCTGACTTTAAATGCCTTCAAGAAAGGGAAAATCGGTCAGAAAAGAAGTTTACCGGAGGATTGGGAATGAAATTTGCAAAGTGACGTAAGGTCTGTACTTGGAAAAAAAAAACGGGAAACCCGAAAGGTCAAACCAAACAATGTTTGTTGAAGGAATTTCAATGAGTCTGCTTTTATTACTTCGATGGATACGAATGGGCCTCCCATAGCTCAGTCGGAGATGGTTGGTTTCGATTCCCGATCTGGTCTAGGAACTTTTCGGGTTGGAATATTTTTCGACATCCCTGGGCATAGAGTATGACTGTACTTGCCACACAATTATACTAATGACAAAATGGTGCAGGCTTCGAAAGCTCTCTATTAATAACTGTGGAAGGGGATCTAGAACACTAAGCACGCAATAAGTTAATATCCGATAAGCAATAAGCTTGAAATGTGAAGAAGAGAGAGAGGATACGAACTATTTCAAAAGATACAAATTTTAGTGAAATGGTCTAAAAAACAAGGACATAAGCTGGAAAATCATCTGTAAGGTTTTGTACAAGTTCATTTGAGAACATCAATCGTTTTATTCCAAGTTTTTAAATAGGTAGCGGAAAAGTTGGCTTCGGCAATACCTTAATCTATTATCGTCAGAGGGGTAAACAAAGTCCTAAAGCACTCAAATTTGGCCAATAGTTGCTTTGAAACACAATGTATCCTCATGTCAAAATTGAGCTCTCAAGGACGTTGTTTACCCCCTGACGATAATAGGTTAAGGTATTGCCGAAGCCAACTTTTCCCCTATCATTTTAGACCACCTACACGTTTCCCCAAGGTACAGTTTATTGTATTCGCAAACAACTCAGAAAACATGGGTTTTCGCCACAAACAAGAAGATGGACTCGAAGTTGTACACCTTCAGGCAAGGGTGCATGGAAAAATGCATTCTACCGTTTATTAAGGCACACAGAGCAGAATTTTGAAGTTTTGGCCTGATTTGGCAAGCTGTCACTACAGCCGGGAGGATTTCGTCGAGAAGGACATTAATCCAGCAACTGTGTCAAATTTGAACGAATTCGATTACGATTTGGATTTGTGGGAAAGATTTGAAGTTTGTATGGGAAAATATATGAGAATCAGAACAGAACCATTAATTTGTGTGTTAAAGTTTCGAAAATCGCTCAATTTTTACTAAACCTGGGACTGAGATTAAAAAACTACACACAACAACTTTGTCTAAGATCGCAAGATTCGTCTTCTGTGCTAGAAGTTATTATTTTTTTTATTGCTGGCCTAGTGTTCCACGCATACCTACAAGCTTATATGCACGCCAGTAGGTATGCGCGGAACACGTGGCCATACATATAGTTTTTGAGGACCTTAATACGAATCGAAAGAGGTATGGGGAGCAGGGGGTTGTTAAGTTGACTCACATTACTGAACATTAGATTAGAGACTAAGGGTAGGTTCGGAAACTATAGAGCAGACATTTAGAGGAGATCTTCTTCTTCTTCTTCGCATTTCAAGCTTATTGCATATCGTATATTAGCTTACTGTGTGCTCTCAACAAGAGTTCTAGATGCACTTCCACAATTATTAATTGAGATGCCTGTACCATTTTTGCATTGGCATAATTGTGTGGCAAGTCCAATCATACATTTATGCCAAGGTAATTCGAGAAATTTTCCAACCCGAAAAATTCCTAGACCGGACCGGGAATTGAACCCAGCCACCTCCAGCATGGTCTTGCTTTGTAGCTGTGCCTTTACCGACTGAGCTAAGGGTGGCCCCATTTAGAGGTGATCGTAAGACTTTTAGAAAAGTTTTAGAAGATTCAATGAAATGGTTATGTAAATTCAAAGAAGTTTTACGGAACCTCAAAGAATATGTATGCAACTTCAAAAAAGGTTTATAAAACTAAAACAAAGTCTTAGAAAATAATAAGAAATTTTACCTGAACTGGCCTTTCCAAAACATCTCTTAATTATTCTCAGATTTATGAAGTTGTCAGCTTGAAAACTGCTTATTAAAGTTATATTAATAGAAGTTCTGGAAACTTCAAACATGTTTTAGGAAACATGAGAGAAGTTTTCAGCAATTACAAGTAAGATGAGCGAATTTCAAAGCAGTTCTAATGTGGTATACCATTCCCTATTGCAGTAAAATACAAATTAACAAATATGATACTCCATTCTCTGACATAACTAAACAACCAAAACAGTAAATATTCATTCACCCCGGACAGCAAAGGCAACGCCCGGGTAAAAAGAATGCAATTATGCAATTCTAAACGAGCCATATGTGTACCCAAGCAACACAGAAAACATCGTCAATTTTTTACTTTTTTTATTTAAGTTACCCAGAAATCCCTTAAATGGTACATGAAATACATCTTGACACAAAAGTGTTTCAAATTTGTTGCTTGTTAAACATTAGGTCTCAATAATGAAACATAACAGTTTCAATGTACTACTTGGATGACCTCTCAAAGCATGCATAAAATGGGAGGAGCATCATACTAAACAGAAATTTACACTACTTTTTCGAACTGTGTGGTTGGTGCAATATAAGCTTGTTTATTTATTTATTTAGTTGCTTCTAAATAAGTAAATAATTGTTAATGGATCATTAGATTTTTTTTAATAAATTCATTCACTTCCAGCCGAACCTGTGAAAGGGCTTATGTTTCTTTTTAACTTTATTTCAGCCTTAGGCTGGTTCATCTCAGGAAGCGTATATGGGCCAAATGTAAACAATGCATAACGATTACACAGTTCGAAAAATAAGTGTAAATTTCTGTTTAGTATGATGCACATAAATGGAGCGTCACATATCATATAAGTTTACATTACATATCATGTAAAGTACTGAGACATTTCATGCAATGTAGCAAATATTGTATACAAAAGTCCATCTTTGTAAACAATATTGTTTACAAGTTGCTCGGTTGCGTGAAATGAAATACAAGTTTACGTGATTGAATGTTTACATCGCAATTAAAATTCAGAACTTTTATCTGTGTGGGTATTTTTTCGCCCATTTTATGATTTCCAAATTCCCCTTATTTTTGACAGCTGCATACATGGTTTGAAAATGGGTATTTTTTACACATTAATGGGTTTGCATGAAAAAAAAAAGAAAAAAAGATGATCGTTTCCAGAACAATTCAAAAGCGTTCTATGGAACCATAGACTGAATCAATATTTCACGTAATTTGTATAGGTGAAATCCAATAAAATTCATTGGATGTCCAATGAAGATATCGCTTTGAAAAATCAAATGAAAGTTATGTGTAAGTTACCACCTAGAAAAAATATACACACTTATTTTTATTGCCGTAAACCAGCAAACGTTTGCTGGACTTTGCCGAGCTGGAAATTCAGCAATCCTTTCAGCAAAACATCTTGCAGCTCATTTGACGGCTCATTGCTGCAAAACCAGCAATAGTTCACTGGTTTGTTCAGTAAAACTGCATATTACATATTTTACTGTATCACCAGCAATTTAATTTGTTTTTCTATAGATTGTTTCAAATTAGGAGTTAAATATAAATATAATCTAGGTATATGTATACACAGATAAAAAATCTGAATTTTAATTGTGATGTAAACATTCATTCACGTAGACTTGTATTTAATTTCATGCAACCGAGCAACTTGAAAACAATGTTGTTTACAAAGATGGGCTTTTTTACAATATTTGCTACATTGCATGAAATGTGTCAGAACTTTACATGATAAATAATGTAAACGTATATGATATGTGACGCTCCATTTATGTGCATCATATTGAACAGAAATTTAC